CTTCATCTTCTTCTTCTCCTTTTTGCTGATTCGCGGATCCGGCCCCGCCCTCGGCCCCGCCCCTTCCTCCTGCTCCTGGGGAGGGACCCAAAACCATCCCAAAATAACCCAAAATACCCCAAAATACCCCAGAATATCCCCAGAATAACCCAAAAACATCCAAAACATCCCAAAATAACCCAAAATACCCCAAAATAACCCAAAATACCCCAAAATATCCCCAGAATAACCCAAACCATCCAAAACATCCCAAAATAACCCAAAATAACCCAAAATACCCCAGAATAACCCAAAAACATCCAAAACATCCCAAAATAACCCAAAATACCCCAAAAACATCCAAAAAAATCCCAAAATAGCCGAAAATATTCGAAAATATCTTTAAATATCCCAAAATACCCCAAAATATCCCAAAATAACCCCCAAAACACCCCAAAAAATGTCCTAAAATATCCCAAAAACATCCCAAAATAACCCAAAATACCCCAAAATACCCCCAGAATAACCCAAAAACATCCAAAAAATAACCCAAAATATCCTAAAATACCCCAAAATATCCCAAAATAGCCCAAAATATCCCAAAATACCCCAAAATATCCCAAAAACATCCCAAAATACCCCAAAATATCCTAAAACATCTTTAAATATCCCAAAATACCCCAAAATATCTCAAATTTATCCCAAACGACCTCAAAATATCCAAAAAACCCTTAAAATATCCCCAAAACCCCATAAATATCCCAAAATATCCCAAAAATATCTTAAAATATTTTAAAATTTAGTATTTTATTCAGTATTTTATTTAATATTTTAAAATATTCTCAAAAAAAACCCAAAATACCCCCAAAATATCCCAAAAATCCCCAAAACATCCCCAAAATATTTTAAAATTTAATATTTTATTCAGTATTTTATTTAATATTTTAAAATAACCTCAAAAAAACCCCAAAATATTCCAAAAATCCCATAAATACCCCAAAATATCCCCAAAATATTTTAAAATTTAATATTTTATTCAGTATTTTATTTAATACTTCAAAATACTCTCAAAAAAAACCCCAAAATATCCCAAAAATCCCATAAATATCCCCAAAATATCCCCAAAATATCCCAAAAATCCCCTAAATATCCCAAAAATCCCCAAAACATCCCCAAAATATTTTAAAATTTAATATTTTATTCAGTATTTTATTTAATGTTTTAAAATACTCTCAAAAAAACCCCAAAATATCCCAAAAATCCCCAAAATATCCCCAAAATATTTTAAAATTTAATATTTTATTCAGTATTTTTTTTAATAATTTAAAATACCCCCCAAAAAAAACCTAAAATATCCCAAAAATCCCCAAAATTTCCCAAAATTTCCCCAAAAATCCCCAAAATTTCCCAAAATTCCCCCAAAATCCCCTCGGGGGCCCCTCCCCCCACCCCAAACTCACGTTCTCGCTTCCCTTCCGGGCTCCTTCCTCTTCCTCCTCCTCCTCTTCCTCCTCCTCCTCCTCATCTCTCAGGGCTCCAAATTTGTTCTGTCCCAAAATGGGGCAAAAATCCCAAATTTTGGGTTTTTTTCCCCACCCCCAAAAAACCAAAAAACCCCAAAATTTCCCCTCCCCCACCTTTACCTTCCCCCCTTTGGGCTCCTCGGAGCCTTCGGCCTCCTCATCGTCGCTGCCGGGTTTTCCCTGAGGGATTTTGGGGTGGAAAATTGGGAATTAAAACCAACAAAATTTGGGGGTTTTGGGGTTTCCTGGGAAATTTGGGAAAATCCCAAAAAAAGGGGGAAAATCCCCAAAAAATTCTCCCAAAAAAATCCCAAAAATTCCCCAAAAAAAATTCCCCCCAAAAAAATTCACGAAAAAATCCCCCCAAAAAAATTCCCAAAAAAATTCCCCAAAAAAATTCCCCAAAAAAAATTCCCATAAAAAATTCCCATAAAAATTCCCCAAAAAAATTCCCCCCAAAAAAATTCCCAAAAAAATTCCCAAAAAAATTCCCCCAAAAAAATTCCCAAAAAAATTTCCCAAAAAAAAATCCCAAAAAAAATTCCCATAAAAAATTCCCCAAAAAAAAATTCCCCCCAAAAAATTCCCAAAAAAAATTCCTGAAAAAAATTCCCCCCAAAAAAATTCCCCCAAAAAAATTCCCAAAAAAAATTCCCAAAAAAATTCCAAAAAAAAATTCCCATAAAAATTCCCCACCTTTCGCCTCCCTTTGGATTTGTCGTTCCTGCTGCTCTTCCTCTTCCTCCTCTCGGCCTCCTCTTCCTCCTGCCGGGGCATTCCCGGGAATTCCGGGGTTTTCTGGGATTTTGGGGCAATTTCCTGGGATTTTAGGGCTTTTTTACAAAAATTTTGGGGTTTTTTTACAGAGATTTTGGGATTTTTCCAGGGATTTTGGGTTTTTTTCCAGGAATTTTAAGATTTTTACAGAAATTTTGGGGGTTTTTTTTAAGAGATTTTGGATTTTTCCTGGGAATTTTGGGATTTTTCCAGGAATTTTGAAGTTTTTTGGAAAAAAAATTGGGATTTTTACAGAAATTTTGAGGGTTTTTTAAAGGGTTTTGGATTTTTCCTGGGAATTTTGGGATTTTTCCAGGGATTTTGGGGTTTCTTGGAAAAAAAATTGGGATTTTTACAGAAATTTTGTGGGTTTTTTTATGAGATTTTAGATTTTTCCATTGATTTTGAGTTCTTTTTCCAGGGATTTTAGAATTTTTTAAAGGAGATTTTGAGTTTTTTCCCCAAGACTTTGGGGTTTTTCCGAAAACTTTGAATTTTTTCCAGGGATTTGGGTTTTTTCCCAGAGGTTTTGGGATTTTTCCGGTGATTTTGGGGTTTTTTTTCCAGTGATTTTGGGTTTTTTCCCAGAGATTTTAGAGTTTTTTAAAATAAATTTTAGGATTTTTGCAGAAATTTTGCATTTTTTCCCAGAGATTTGGGTTTTTTCCCCCAGGAATTTGGGGATTTTCCCCCCTCAGGTGACCCCACCTTGGCAATTTTCCCCTTGGACGTTTTTTTTTCCTTTTCTTCCTCTTCCTCCTCCTCTTCCTCGCTCTGCTCCTGGTCTTCCTCCTCCTCTTCCTCGCTCTGCTCCTGGCTCAGAGCAGCGAAAACGTTCCCACCCTGAGGGAAAAAATGGGAAAAATCCCAAATTATTCCCTTTTCTCCCCAAAATTCCCCATTTTCACTGAATTCCCCTCGTTTTTGGGAGCATTTCCCTTCCAAAATCCCATTTTTTTTCAGCAAATTTTCCTCTTTTTTTGCCTTTTTCCCACATTTTTTTGTGGCAAATTTCTCCTCTTTTTTTTTTCACCTTTTTCCACTTTTTTAAGGCAAATTTTCCCCCTCAATTTTTCTGATTTTTTCCCACTTTTTAGGATAAATTTTCCCTCATTTTTTCCTTTTTTCCCCATTTTTTTTTTACAAATTTCTCCCTCACTTTTTTTACCTATTTCCAGCTTTTTTTGAGCAAATTTCTCCCTCATTTTTTTCCCCTTTTTCTCACTTTTTTAGGGGAAATTTTCCTAACGTTTTCTGGCATTTTCCCATTTTCTTTTTTTCATTAAATTTCTCCCTCATTTTTTTCCTCATTTTCCAACTTTTTTGAGCAAGTTTTCCCCCAAATTTTTTCCCTTTCTCCCCTTTTTTTGGGGCAGATTTTCCACTCCTTTTTTCCCTTTTTCCCCCTTTTTTTGTGGCAATTTCCCCTCATTTTTTCCCCTTTTCCCCCTTTTTTTTGGGGCAGAATCCCCCTTTTTCCCCCCTCACCTTCCTCCTCCTCCCTCCTTTCCGCGCCGCTGGAGCTGTGGGTCAGATTTTGGGGGTCACCGAGGGGTTAAACCCCCCCAGGACCCCCCAAATTCCCATCCCGGACCTTCCTCCTCCTCCTCCTCCTCCTCCTCGGCCGCGGCCGCCAGGGCCTGGAGCCGCCGGCTCAGCTCCTCCTCCTCGGGCTCAGGCTCCGCCCCCCGCCCTCGCCGCGGCTCCTTCCGGCGCTCCCGCTTCCGCCGGGACCCCTGGGGGGGTTCGACACCTTTAATTAGCGCTAATTAACCCTTAATT